CAGTATTCCTGGTATTCTTTCAAACTCTTTAGAACATAGAACAATAGGGATCAACAAGATTCTTTGGAATTCCTTCAAATTCCTTCAAAAATAGAACAACAGAAGTCCCCAACATTCTTTAAAAAATAAAACAGACAGAGTCCCTGAGATTCTTTCAAATTCTTAAAAAATATCTCTTTTTCAAACTATTAAAACAACGGGATTTCCAGAAATTCTTGTCAATTCTTTCAGAAATAAGACAGAAGAGGGCGTTGAGTTTTTTCAAAATTTTTTAAAAATAAAACAGAGGGGACAACCAAATTTTTCTCTTAAAAAGACAGCATTTCCTGAAATTTTTCAGAATTCTTTCAAAAATAAAAGATAAGGAGTCCTCTAGATTGTTTCAAAATTCTTCCAAAAAAATTAAATAGCGGGATTCCCACTACTCTTTCGAATTCTTTTAAAGTTAAAACAGAATAATTTTTTCCTGAGACTTTTTCAAGCTCTTTCAAACAATGGAAATTCTTGATATTCTTTCGAATTCTTCCAAAAACTAAACAACAAGTTTCTTTCAAATTAAAACGGACAGTATTCCTGGGATTCTTTCAAACTCTTTAGAACATAGAACAATAGGGACCACCAAGATTCTTTGGAATTCTTTCAAATTCCTTCAAAAATAGAACAACAGAAGTTCCCAACATTCTTTCAAAAATAAAACAGAAAGAGTCGCTGAGATTCTTTCAAATTCTTAAAAAATATCTCTTTCTCAAACTCTTAAAACAACGGGATTTCCAGAAATTCTTGTCATTTCTTTCAGAAATAAGACAGAAGAGGTCGTTGAGTTTTTTTCAAAATTTTTTAAAAATAAAACAGAGGGGACAACCAAATTTTTCTCTTTAAAAAACAGCATCTCCTGAAATTTTTCAGAATTCTTTCAAAAATAAAAGATAAGGAGTCCTCTAGATTCTTTCAAAGTCCTTCCAAAAAAATTAAACAGTGGGATCACCACTACTCTTTCCAATTCTTTTAAAGTTAAAATACAAAATAATTATTTCCTGAGACTTTTTCAAGCTCTTTCAAACAATGGGGATTCTTGAGATTCTTTCGAATTCTTCCAAAAACTAAACAATAAGTTCCTTTAAAATTAAAACGGACAGTATTCCTGGGATTCTTTCAAACTCTTTAGAACATAGAACAATAGGGATCAACAAGATTCTTTGGAATTCTTTCAAATTCCTTCAAAAATAGAACAACAGAAGTCCCCAACATTCTTTCAAAAATAAAACAGACAGAGTCCCTGAGATTCTTTCAAATTCTTAAAAAATATCTCTTTTTCAAACTCTTAAAACAACGGGATTTCCAGAAATTCTTGTCAATTCTTTCAGAAATAAGACAGAAGAGGTCGTTGAGTTTTTTTCAAATTTTTTTAAAAATGAAACAGAGGGGACAACTAAAATCTTTCAAACTCTTTCAAAAAACAGCAGTTCCTGAAATTCTTCAGAATTCTTTGAAAAATAAAAAATAACGAGTCCCCGAGATTCTTTCAAATTGTTTCAAAAATTAAACAGCGGAATCCCTTCTACTCTTTCGAATTCTTTTAAAATTAAAACAAATTTTTTTCCTGAGATTTTTTTCAAACTCTTTCAAACAACGGGGATCCTTGAGATTCTTTCGAATTCTTTCAAAAATAAAATAACAAGAGTCCCAGATATTTTTCTAAAAATAAAGCAGAAAGTCCGTGAGATTCTTTCAAACTCTTTCAAAAATAAAACAGAGAGGACAATCAAACTCTTAAAAAAACCGGATTTCCTAAAATTCTTTCGAATTCTATCAATAATAAAAGAGAAGTGGTCCGCTAAATTCTTTCACAGTTTTTCAAAAATTAAACAACAGAATCCCCGATTCTCTTTTGAATTCTTTTAAATTTAAAACAGAATTTTTTTCTGAGATTCTTTGAAACACTTTCAAACACCAGGAATGCCTGAGATGATTCCTTTTTCTTCTCGGACATTTTTTCAAAAATAAAACAGATGAGGTCCGTAAGATTCTTTCAAAAATAAAACAGAAGGGACAACCAAACTCTTTCAAACTTTTAAAAAGGGTGTTTGCAGAAATTCTTTCAAACCCTTTAAAAAATTAAACAACATTCTTGCAAACTTTTTCAAAATAAAACAGAAGGGACAACCAAACTCTTTCAAACTCTTTAAAAAACCGATTTCCAGAATTTCTTTCATTCTTTCAAAAATTATACAGCAGGTTGCCCTCTACTCTTCCGAATTCTTTTAAAGTTAAAACAGACAGTGTTCCTTAGATTCTTTCAAACTCTTTTAAACATAAAACAACAGGGATGCCAAGATTCTTTCGAACTATTTCAATTTTTTTTTAAAGTTAAACAAAAGGCGTCCTAGAGACTCTTTCCAACTCTTTCAAAGATAAAACAGAAGGAACAATTAAACTCTTTCAAACTCTTAAAAAAACGGGTTTCATGAAATTCTTTCAAAGTTTTTCAAAAATTAAACAATAAGTTCCTTTAAAATTAAAACGGACAGTGTTCATGAGATTCTTTCAAACCCTTTAGAATATAAAACAACAGGAATCAACAAGATTCTTTGGAATTCTTTCAAATTCCTTCAAAAACAAAACAACAGGAGTCCTGAATATTCTTTCAAAAATAAATTAGGAGTCTCTGAGGTTCTTTCAAATTATTCAAAAATAAAACTTTTCAAACTCTTAAAAGAACGGGGTTTCCAGAAATTCTTTCGAATTCTTTCAGAAGTAAAACAGAGGGGACAACTAAACTCTTTCAAACTTTTTAAAAAACAGAATTTCCTGAAATTATTTTGAATTATTTCCAAAATAAAAAATAAGGTATCCCCGAGATTCTTTCAGTCTTTCAAAAATTAAACACCAGAATCCCGGTACTCTTTCGAATTTTTTTTAAATTAAAACAGAAATTTTCCCTGAGAATCTTTCAAACTCAAACGAAAAGTTTTCCTTTCTAATAAAATAAAAGGAGTCCCAAGATTCCTTCGAATGGATTGTTTTAAAGATAAAAGAGATTCTTTCAGACTCCCTTGAAAATAAAACAGAGTTTCCTGATATTCTTTTGAATTCTTCAAAAATGAAAAAACAGGAATACTGGAATTCTTGCAAATTCTTTTAAAAATAAAACAAGAGAGGTTGCTGACAATCCTTCATTTTTTTTTTTAATAAAACAGAGGGTTTCCGAGATTTTTGAATTTTTTTTTAAATTAATTTATTATTAAAAAACAAATAGGCGAAAATTCCTGTGTTTTATTTAAATGAAAGGACTTAAAAAATTACAAAAAAAATCCAGGATACCTTATTTTTGTCTATATACATGTTAATTTTCCTCGATATACGCCCATAGTGCTATCCGATAAATTATTTATATCAGCCATTTTACACTCTTCTCTGTACATTTATGCACATATGTATTTATGTAAAATCTTCATCTTCATTCATTCGACTAGTTCCGCTCGAAAATCCAGTGCCAATTTGAAACATTTAAATTTTCCCGGCGCATCCACCAAAATTGATTTTCCAAATTCATACACTTTATTTTCTTTTGAATTTAATCGCACGAAAACTCACCAACTTTTCGCTACATTTAAAACGTTAGAAGTTACCCGTAAACACGACAACTAACAGACAGACGAAAACGTAATACCGACTGAAATTTAAAAGTGTCCTCTGCTTACACGTATAAAAATTACAAAAAGGACGACTATGGGACCCAGGAGGGTTTATTCCTGCTTATATACATGCTAATGTACTCGATATAGGCACTTAAGCCCGGTAGTGCTATTTTGATAAATTATTTATTATTTCAACCAAATTACGCTCTCCTGTGTACATTCATTTGCATATTTACGTAAAATCTTAACTTTCTTTCACGTGACTAGTGAAAATCGGGTGAAACGATTTAAATTTTCCCGGCGCATCCACCAAAATTGATTTTCTCAGTCCGTGTTTGTGCATTTCATTTTCTTTTAAATTTAATCAGACGAAAGCTCGCTACGTTTTGAAACACTAAAAATCACCATAAACAGAACAACTAACAGACAGACGGACGGAATCCATGTTAATGTTGCTCGATGTAGGCACTTAGTCTCGGTCGTGCTACTTCTATAAATTATTTATAATTTCGACCATATTCAACTATCCGCTGTAAATTTATGTACATATTTATGTAAAATCTGCAATTTTCATTCATACTACTAGCGAAAGATTTAAAACGGATTTTTCCAATTCGCGTTTTTATTTTCTTTCGGAGTTAATTAAACGAAAACCCGCCGACTTTTCGCTACATTTAAAACACACAAAAACGAAAGATTGCTAATCTCAAACAAATTTGTACAAGTTTTACTACCCCGTAACCCTATTCATAAACTTTACGACCTTATCTACCGTGCGTCTAGAAACGACATTAAAAAGTATCTCTAAACCTGAAATTTACATTTAGAAAGATTACTTTCCTTTCAGACGAATTTATTTCACGCGGAGACAAGATTACAAAAAATCCCGCCTCGGAGCCGCTTTTTAATTAGAAAAGTTAGAAATTTTCCGCAAAAATGTGAATCGGTTCCTAATAACCCTCAATATTAATCCCATTCCAATAAAACAGGAGAAACCGCGCTACGAAAATCGAGCTTGATGCAAAAATGATTGAAACGAAGCCCCGCGCTAACCCAGAGAACGCTTTCTTTTATTTCCTCGCGTCTTTCATTCCCACTTTGTCGATACAAGCGAAAAAAGTGTAAACAAAGGAGCTTTCATTAGAGCTTTCGCTGGGAGATTAAACAAAATTCGCGCGCTATTATAAATTCGATTTTAAATCTCCAGCGGAATAATTCACACGTGTGGCGACTCCGGCGGAATCACAAAAGCGCAATCTAATCGGGTTCGGCTCCGGCGCCCGGAACCTTCACCTGCATTTCGGCCCTAATGGAATGTAAACATCGGCCTGAATATTTCACGAGCCCTCGGACGTTACTCACCCAATTCCAGCGAGCTCCGGGTCGACGTGGGAAAGCGATTTTCGTACGTTTCACGGAACCTGATCGGAAAGCTGCGCGCCGATCCGCTGAAAATTTTCGACTGCTGCGAAAGCGCTCCGAAAGTAAGAGCTTTCGCGCAGATTCGGCACACACGCGTAACTAATCGCGAAGAAAAATACAATTAAAGACGCCGGGAGGAGTGTTGTTTATTTGAAATTAATTTTGCGTTTCGGGTGTGCTGTGGGGGTTGGAATTATTTTATTGATTGATCGAGCCGGCTGACCGAGGTGCTTTTTTATTTATGGCGGGCGAAGGTCGGCGAATTGTGGACTTAAGAGGCCCGGTTATCAATTATTTTAGAAATGGGGGTAAGACGGGCGCGGGAGGGGCCGTTGGGACGAAATTCAGTGGTTTTTTCCAGTCCACTAAAGCCACAACAACCTGTAATAATAATTTTTTTAATGGACATGAAGTATATTTTGTATTAAGAAAATTGAACATTATTCTGATGCTTTCTTTAACTGTAATTTTTAATATTCTTGTTAAGTCTGAGGTGTATTTTTCTACATGGAAACAATCAAATGTCATAATTCATTCATTCATTCTTAAATAGAGTCACAAGTAATTTTCGGCACCAGTATTTTTTTAATTTAATGTCAAAGGGGTGATAACAAGACACTTGATGTCAGAATACTAATAACCAAATTAAGGACACATACATAAGATTCTTTCAAAAATCTTAGTATCAAATACCAAATACCAGTGGCCTCAGAGATCCTTTCACATCCTTTAAAAAAAGATAAAAATGGACTCCTAAGATTCTTTCACATTCTTGGAAACAAGACACTAGGAGCCCCCGAAATTCATTCACATCCTTTAAAAAAAGGCAATAGAAAACTCTTGAATTTGTTTCACATTTTTACAAACGACTAGGAGCTTCCAAGATTTTTTTGCATTCTTAAAAAACTACTCGGAGCCCGCGAAATTATTTCATTTCTTTAAAAAAGCATTATAAGCCCCCGAGATTCTTTCACATTCTTAAAAAAACACCTCGACATTTTTACACATTCTTAAAAAATATTAGAATTATCCGAGATTCTTTCACATTCTTAAAAAACACTGGAAGCTCTCGAGATTTTTTCACATTCTTAAAAAAACACAAGGAGCCCTCGAATTTTTTCACATTCTTTAAAAAAAACTCTAGAAGTCCTCGAATTCTTTGACGTTCTTTAAGAAAACACATTAGGACTTCTCGAGATATTTTCACATTTTTAAAAAAAACTCTAAGAGCCCTCGAGATTCTTACACGTAATTATAAAAATATTAAAAGAATCTGAAATTCTTTCACATTCTTAAAAAGCACTAGGAGCCCTCGAGATATTTTTACATTAAAAAAAAAACTAGGACCCTGCGAAATTCATTCATATTTAAAAAACATTAGGGGCTTCGAGATTCTTCCACATTCTTAAAAAAAAACACTAGGAGCGCGAGAGAATTTTTCATATTTTTAAAAAAACACCTGGAGCCCTCGAATTCTTTCACATTCTTTAAAAACAACTCTAGCAGTCCTCGAGATTCTTTCAGATTCTTAAAAAAAATACACCAGGAGCCCTCGAGATTCTTTAAAATTCTTAAACAAAAACATTAGGGATCTTCGAAATTCTTTAAAAAAACACTAAGAGCCCTCGAATTCTTTCACATTCTTTAAAAAAACATTAGGAGCCCTCGAATTCTTTCAAATTCTTTAAGAAAGCACGTTGGGACGTCTCAAAATATTTTCACATTTTTAAATAAACTCTAGTAGCTCTCGAGATGCTTACCCATTCTTATAAAAATATTAAAAGACTCTGAGATTCTTTCACATTCTTAAAAATCACTAGGAGTCCTCGAGATTCTTTCAGATTCCTAAAAAAAAGATTAGGAACCCACGAGAATTTTTCATATTTTTGAAAAACCACCAAGAGCCCTCGAAATTCTTTGACATTAAAAAAAAAACACTAGAAGCTCTGGAGATTCTTTCAAATTCGTAAACAAAAACATTAGGGATCTTCCCAGATTCTTTTAAAAAACACTAAGAGCCCTCGAATTCTTTCACATTCTTTAAAAAAACACTAGGAGCCCTCGAATTCTTTCAAATTTTTTAAGAAAACACATTAGGACCTCTCAAGATATTTTCACACTTTTGAATAAACTCTAGGAGCTCTCGAGATGCTTACCCATTCTTATAAAAATGTTAAAAGATTCTAAGATTCTTTCACATTCTTAAAAAGCACTAGGAGTCCTCGAGATTCTTTCAGATTCTTAAAAAAAGATTAGGAACCCACGAGAATTTTTCATAATTTTAAAAAACCACTAAGAGTCCTCGAAATTCTTTCACATTAAAAAAAAACACTAGAAGCTCTGGAGATTATTTCAAATTCGTATACAAAAACATTAGAGATCTTCCCAGATTCTTAAAAAAAATCGAATATTCTTTCACATCCTTCAAAAAGTACAGTAGGAACCCTTGAGTTTCACATTCTTTAAAAACCACAAAGAGCGTCTGGGATTTTTAAACGTCCTTAAAAAAATACTAAGAGCTCTAGAAACTCTTTCACGTTATTAAAAAAAAAAATGAAAAAATGTAAAATTTAAAAAATTGAAAAATTAAAATATCGGAAAATCCAGAAATTGAAATGTTGTAAAATTAAGAAATCGAAATCTTGAAAAATCGAGAAATCCAAAAATCGAAAAATTTTTAAATTTCCCAAAATTGAGGTGCTGTAAAATTAAGAATTCAAAGACTTAAAAAATTGAAAAATCAAAAAATCAAAAAATTTTGAAAATCAAAAAACTGAGATGTCCAGGAATCGAAAAACTGAACTGAAATTTCGAAAAATTGTGAAATCGAAAAATTGGAAAGTGGATAGATCGAAAAATTCAAAAAGTGATCCAGAAGTCGAAAAACCGAAAAATTGAGAAATCTAAATAACATAAAATCGAAAAATTTAAAATATGTAGAAAAATTAGACAAATTAAAATTTAAAAAAACGACAAATTGAAAAATTGAAAAAACGGGAAATCAAAAAATTTAAAATTTAAGAAATCGAGAAATTAATATATCCAAAAATCGAAAAGTCCAGAAATTGAAAAATTTCCAAAATTTCAACATGAAATTCAGAATTCGAACACTTGAAAAATTGAGAAATCGAAAAATCGAAGAATTTTGAAAGTCGAAAAACCGTAATCTCTAGGAATCGAAAAACTGGAGTACCAAAAATCTAAAAATCGCCAAATCGAAACATCAAAAAATCGAAAAATGGAAGAATGGAAATATCGAAAAACTGAACTGAAATTTCGAAAAATTGTGAAATCAAAAATCTGGAAAGTCGAAACATCGAGAAGTCGAAAAACCGAAAAGTTGAGAAATCTAAATAGCATAAAATCGAAAGATTTAAAATATGTAGAAAAATTGCAAAAATTAAAATTGAAAAGAAAAACGAAAAACTGAAAAATTGAAAAAACCGGAAATTGAACAATCGAAAAATCGAAAACTTAAAAAACCAAAAAAATGTAAAACCGAGAAGTCGAAAAACAAAAGATCGGGAACTCGAAACATAAAAAAAATCGAAAAATTTTAATTTTCGAAGAATTGAACAGCTGAAAAATAGAGAAATCAAAAAATTTAAAATTTAAAAAATCGAAATCGCATATCGAAAAATCGAAAAGTCTAGAAATTAAAAAATTTCCAAAATTGAAATATAAAATTAAGACATCGAACACTTGAAAAATTCAGAAATCGAGAAAATGAAAAAATTTTAAAATCGAAAAACCGAAATGTAGAGGAATCGAAAAATCGAGAAGTCGAAAAATGTTAAATAGAAAAATCGGAAGAATTAAAATAAAAAAAAGAAACATTCAAAAATTAAAAACACGAAAAATTAAACTATCGAAAATTTAAAAACCGAAGAATTGAAAAACCAAAAAATCTAAATCCGAGAAGTTGAAAAACGAAAGATCGGGGAATCGAAACATCAAAAAAATAAAAAATCTAAAAGTTAAAATTTCGAAAAAATCAAAAACTGAAAAAACAAAAAATTTTAAAAATGGGTAAATTAAAATATTGAAAAATCGAAAAATCCAAAAATTGAAATCTTGAAAAATGGAGAAATCGAAAAATCGAAAAATATTTAAAAATCGAGAAATTGAAATGTCGAGGAACCGAAAAAGTGAAGCAATAAAAATAAAAAAATTGCTAAATCTAAACATCAAAAAATTGGAATGTGTGATAATTTAAGAAATCGAAAAATCGAAGAATGGAGAAGATTGAAAAACTGAAAAATCGAGAAACTGAAAACTCCGAAAACTCGAAATTTCGAAAAATTGGGAAATCGAAAAATTGGAAGATCGAAACATCGAAAAATTCGAAAAGCCATAAATCGAAAAGCCGGAAATTGGAAAAATCTAGAAACCTAGAAATTGGAAAACCGAAATATCGAAAAATCGAATAGTCGAGAAGCTGAAAAATCGAAAATTGAAAAGTCTAAAGTTCAAAATTTCGAAAAATTGGAAAACTGAAAAATCAAACAATCAAAAATTTAAAAAAAAATCGAAAAATCCCGAAATTGAAAAATTTCCAAAATTGAAATATAAAATTAAGAAATCGAACACTTGAAAAAATGAGAAATCGAAAAATCGAAGAATTTTGAAAATCGAAAAACCGTAATCTCTAGGAATCGAAAAACTGGAGGACTAAAAATCAAAAAATCGCCAAATCGAAACATAAAATCGAAAAATTGAAAAATGGAATAAGTGGAAGATCGAAACACTGAACTGAAATTTCGAAAAATTGTGAAATCAAAAATCTGGAAAGTAGAAACATCGAGAAATCGAAACATCAAGATCGCGAAATCGAAAAATCGAATAGTCGAGAAGTCGAAAAACCGAAAAATTGGGAAATATAAATAGCATAAAATAGAAAGATTTAAAACATGTAGAAAAATCGGAAAAATTAAAATTGAAAAGAAAAACCAAAAATTGAAAAATTGAAAAAACCGGAAATTAAACAATCGAAAAATCTAAAAATCGAAAACTTAAAAAACCAAAAAATCTAAAAAAGTCGAAACACAAAAGATCGGGAACTGGAA